TTAGATGCCGGCTCTTGAGCTTTGGCTGCTCTTGAGCAAAAATGTTAAGATCCCAGTCACTGCTCACCAAGTAGGAGATAGAGCATTGTCTTTGTGGGACATTTATGTCAGTTGACCTTGGAGTCCCCTGAGGCCGTGGTCCTGAGCCCGAAGGGCCAGCGACTCATTCCCTCAAGGTGTTGGTTAGATCTAAGACATTTTCAAGACTGCTCTCTATATGCTCTACCACATTCATGGGTATAAATATATATCCCCGATGTACATAGATGGATATCCATATATCCATCTAGACATATACACGCACATATACGTGTATAATATCCATGTGTACATCTGATATATCTATATCCATGCATATGTACATATATATATCCACATACATACGTATAGATGTGTGCATATGGATATCTGTGTATACGTGGATGTATATATCCATGATCCAAAGATAAATGTCCATATACAAACACCTCTCTCAAACCTCTATATATTTGAGGTCTACTCCCACTCCCCCTCTCACACCAATTCCATTTATGTTTCCATCCATGCATCCACTTGTAGATCGCCATCACTGGGGATGTATGTACATGGCAGTATTGACCTCTGTTGCCTGTAATTCTCACACACTGCCTCGCTCTTTATGTAATTGCCTTCCCCTTCACTCAAGTTAATTCCTGGTTTCCTCTCCACTTGCAGTCCGTAATTGCACTGTTCCCTTATCTTACTTTGCCATGTTCTTCCTGACGGGTTGGTACCATGGGTTCCCTAGTCTCACTCTTGTGAGTTTGTTTTAGATTGGGTGCTCGCTGTGCGGGTTGACTTCTGGGGGAGGTGGTGTTATACATGCTCACCTCAGGTGGTGGTCTGCTGCTGCTGGGTTTCTCTGGAAAACCACCATTCGTGTTTTCGTTGGGTTCGTCTGGCTTATTTGGAAATGTCACAGTTTATACTGTCTTTGAGGGGCAGCTCTGCTGGGTGTGCAGTTCTTGGTCAGCAGGGTTTTCTTTCAGGTAGCATATGTTACCCTCTTGCCTTCTTGCCCTGAGACCAGTGTAGTCTTCCTTTTCTCAACCCATTTTCTCTCTCTTCCATGTTGGAAAGTTTGATGATATATCACAGTGGTTTTCTTTTGGGGACCTGTCCTGTTTGGGGTTCACTCAGCTTCCTGAGAGTGCATCTCCGTGTTATTCATGGTATTGGGTTTAGAAGAGTGGTTCTCAACCTTCCTAATGCTGCAATCCTTTCATACACTTCCTCATGTGGTGGTGGCCCACCAACCATAAATTTACTATCATTGCTACTTCATAACTAATTTTGCTACTTTTTTTTTTTCAATTTAATTTAATTTATTATTTTTTAATCATTTTATTGGGGCTCATACAACTCTTATCACAATCCACATATACATCAATTGTGTAGAGCACACTTATATATCCATTGCCCTCATCATTCTCAAAACTCACTTTCCGCTTGGGCTCCTGGAATCAGCTCCTCACTTTCCTTCCCCCTATCCCTCCCCGCTCCCCCCTCCCTCATGGACCCTTGATAATTTATAAATT